TTATTATTATTATTATTATTATTATTCATTTCCAATTAGAATATTGTGACTTGCTAGAGATAAAGTTCCTTATTTTGGCAACAAATCCTCTAGTGGGGCTTATTGTGGCCATGTGTCCAAAGGTTGGGTTCACAGTTTAGTCATTTGTTATTGACTGAAGTACATGAGGCTATCAATCTGCCCTTTTCCGTTCCTCCTATCAAACTAAAGACCATGAGGATTACACGTGACCCCTGCCTACTTGTCTCCTTCTTTGTGTGGGTAAAAACACCCAAGACGTGCTGTGAGTCTTGTTTTTATGTTCTATGTCCTTGGTATGTCTGTGTGTTTTTGCCCCCTTGATGGTTTCCTTTGCAGTGACAAGAGCTAGTTTGTTCTCTTTGCCATTGTCGGTTAAGGTGTGGCTGCAACCGCACAAATAAGTTGATGGCAGATTGTCAAACCTCACTGTTTTTAATCTCAACTGTTTTGTTTTGTGCTTCTTTTTTTCCCAACAGATGACAACCAGTTTGAGATGGACATCTGAGCTGCAGTATTACCTCCTGTGGAGATATTTGTTTAAATGCCTCCAAGGTCATCACGGACCGTAACGCATTACAAATGAAGCTTTTTCACTTTTTTTTTTTTTTTTTTTTTTTTTTTTTTTTTTTTAAAACAAGTAAAAGCTTTTGTCTGGAATTAAAGAATGAAAGCATAAAAGTAGGGTGCTTTTAACCCTACAAAAGTGTTTATTGTACTAAATGGGTTGTTTGGTTGCTGATTCACTTCAGAACTGTAGCAGGATTTAAAAAAAATAAATAAATAAATCCATTTTGATTTCACTTTTTAAAATCTTTGTAAATAAGAAACTTGTACTATGTTGCTTTTTTTTTTTTTTTTTTTTATTAAGTCGAGGGACTATAAGATGATCATACCGAGACATATGAAGTTGGTACTTTCAGTGCATGCATCAGTTATCATTTCCCCCTCCCACTCCCCTAAAAAGGAAGGTTAACTTTCTTTGTTTGGTAGACAGGTGTCACCTAACATTGCGGGGGTGCCTTCCAAAATTCAGGTCCTACTTTGTTTTGTATAGAGGAAGTGATGGAATGTGAAGTAATTCAAATAAAGGCTGTGAAAACTGTCAAGTTGTGTCTTTGCTTTCTTTTTGTCCATGTTTTAGCTTTTAAGCTGCACGCTAACATTGTAGTGTATTGCCTTGTAACTTAAACTTTTACCATTTCCAATAAAGTATATATTTCTCTAAAGAGAAATGGTCTACAAGGGTTTTAAGTGTTAATGTATTTTTATGACCCCAAAGGATGGCTCATAAAGTTTGATAACATGTACTTTGGGTAAAGCACAAGTCTGTGCTTTATGTCAGGTTTTCTCTGTGCTCAAATGGACTTCGAGTGGGAGGAGCCTGTAAGCTTGGGCTTCACGTTTAGTAAATGATTGTGCTGCCTTTTTTCACAGAAATCCACTATAGCCAGTGTAGCTAAGACAATGACCCTGTTACACCTTGTAACAGAAAAGCATGTTGCCATGCAAAAATGCATATTAGGCAGTTAGTATGTTGCATTACTTCTGTACTGATACTCTTGTATTCTTAAAAGGGAAATCCACATGCGCACAGAAGCTCAATTTTTGCTGATCTGTGTGGTGGTAAAATGGTTATTTTTAGGCTTGTGGTTCTCTGAATGTCAGGAACGGGGCCAGACTGAATATGATTATTCTAGGAGAAGGTGGGAAATAAAAAAAAAAATAAAAAAACAGTCCTTCCAGTTAGAAAGTTTTGTGGATAATCCCCAGCTATTCTAGTCTGCAGGCTGAAGTATCATTGTCCAAGATGCATTTATCAGTGCGTGTGTGGGAAAATTAGAAAAAAAAGTGTGTTACATAAATGTGGGTGAGGTTGGGTGAATGAAACTTAGAAAGCATTCTGAGTGTTCACTTTGAGGAGACGGGTGCTATCTAGGTCCCAGTCCACTTTCACTGAAATTCACTTTTTTTTTTTTAGCAGGATGTTTCATGAATATTTTTCTTCTAAATTGTCAGAAAAAGTATGACAACCACAGCTTTAGTCTTTATCCTGGTATTATGCACTGGTTATGTCGATGGGAAATGCAATCTTGAATTTTCAGACATAGCAAAAAAACACTGAAAAATCTATTAAGTGTTTTTTTTCTGATATTTATCAGGAGTGGCTTTGAAGCACAAGGCTGCCCAGAGTCATGTACACTGTGTCTCCGGCCGTGGCCACTCAGCAAGGTCAGTGCTAGGCATGCTGGCTTATTCCAGACGCTGGCAGTCTATAGATCAGGGAAACTGACTGTGGAAGTAGGTCTGGTCTTAAGGAATGAAAGCAGCTGCACCTCAGAGGCCAGACACAGTAAAACTATACCGCAGTATGGGGGCGGGGGTATGACACCTGCTGGTATTTGACCAGATAGTCATTTCAAATATGTAATTGTGATTTACTGAGTATTTTAGCTAATAATAATGACAGAGTCTATTCTGAGTGGAGTATTCAAGCAAAAACAGACAAGCAGCCCCTGCCCCACATTGTTCATGTGTAATTTTGTGACATCATTCTGTTCAGATGTTGAAGACATATGGTTTTGCAGATATTATTAGCAACCACCTCTAATTAATTAAAGCAAGCAGTGTAGTAACTGTAGTTCTTTTAAGAACAAGCAAATTAAACGTGCTCTGTTAGCTTGTATTAGCTCACCTTACAGCAAATACAATGCTCAGACAGCAGGTTAACATTTTGCCACTGTAATAATACACAGTTTGAGTGTTTTGCATAGCATGTGAGGGCAAGGCCAGGTGACTGTGACAAGCACCATATGCTCATGCCATAGTTTTTAAAGGGGTTCCTCTCTGCCAGAGGGAATATGATGTACTATTAAATTCCTCCTGTTAGAGGGTTTATCTAATCATGATCATGTTCTTATCTGGGATCAAAACATTTCACTAGACTATCGAGGTCACCATCTAGCAACGACATTTGGCTGAATTCTGGTTTTCTCACAGACGCGCTGCATTGAGCTGATTTTACAGCTGAATCCAGGCTAAAGTAAGCTACAAATGTTAGCCAAGGTTTTCAAACATATTTTGATTTATTTCTTTATTTTTAATAAAGTACGTAAATGGACTTTGCATGCTCATTGCCAGCTCTATGGGTTTTTTTTTTAATTCTTGGACTCCTCTAGAGTGGCTTTACATGACTCACGCTTTAAAATAATCCCTGTTTATCTTACTGTGGACTTCAGTGCAGGCTCTTAGCTTTTAAACTATCTAAAACAAGCTATTTTGCATCTAGTATCTGTGTATCCATTATTGCGACAGTATATATATGAGATAAACCGAGGGTTAAGATGATCGATGATGGGTCGACTTCAGAGAAATGATAAGAAAGGTTTGTTGCAGCAATAATAAATCTCAGAGTGAGCGAGATTTACTTAAGGAACTCTATTGCAGGGCATATGACAGCCTATCAATACCTCCGACATCTCAATATGACAAGATATAATAGCACACATTTCAGGAGTGTAGTAGGCCAATATGATGCTTTTATACAATGCATTTTCACTACATTGCATACATAACACTGTGTCCAGCAAGCAGCTGATCCTGAAATGTTTTGTGTTGTTGATGAGTGGACTACCAGTCTCTGGTCTGCTGCACATTTGTGAAATGTTATTTTGGAAAAAATATGTCTGTGCTGTTGAAAACAACACCACAGATGACCACCCTTGCCATCCAAGTTCAAATGAACCCTGGTAAACTTGCTCCAGTGCCCTTTTCCAAAGAGTTAAGATCCCTTCTTTGCATCTTCGCTCCTCCCAGTTTCCCTGTAAGAGGGTTGGGTAAAGCTGGCATGGCCGATGAGGATCTATTTTTATCAGCTGCTCCTGTGCTCCTGTTAAAGCCCAGCAGTACAAGTTCAGGATGAATCGCCCGGGTGACGATGTAAACAGACACTCAAACACACAGCCTACTTGGTGAGATGTATCCTGACAGGAAGGGGCCTGGAGGGGTGGGAGTGGGCTGATGCAGGCCGCATGTTTGACACATACACGCACACAAACTCCATTTCACATTACTTACACCACAGGAAAGCCAGCCAGCTGTTTACCAGGATTCCTGTTGAGCACATGAGTAAAAGAGTACACTGTAAACGCTGATTCCTCGATCGCTGTTACACTGAAATTAAATATGACACACTGTCAGATGTTTCTTGGATTACATGAGGCTCATTTGATGCTTGAAAACATTTCATTGTAATTTTTTTTTACTATATTCCCTAGAAGTGATCTTTGAAAAGTATTTTTGAATTGTTTTTTATGTATTCAGAACTGGTCTGTGATGCTTACAATGCAGGCTACACCGTCTTGCATTTGGCTCAGTAACGCTGACGATTTCTTCACTGTTTGTTGCACAATCTCTGCTGTTGCCTAATGTGTCACCGGTAACTTTCATCAACAGACTTTCTGTGCTGACTTTACGCTTCCGCTGTAAACATACTGTGCTTAGTGTGCATATGTCAGAGATCAGGGTTTCGATACCCAGTGGCACCACTGGTTTACAGCTCTGTTTGTTGATACAGGTGTCCTGTTACACATACTCAATGTGCAAGCCTCATCACATGTTGCTACATGGAATTCTTTGCAGAACAGAAATCATTGCCTTTTAAATTCAACTGTCAATAGCAGAGGTCACGCTGTCCAATTTCTGGTATGCTACTCATTCATTAAACAGAATATCATGTATTATCAAACATCCACCATACCTGCTGCTGAAACAAGCATGTATATACTGTATATATAGTAACCAGTTATCCATCCCTTCTTTATTTCATAATTTATTCTTTGCACTCCTCACCATTGCACATACAGTATGGATATGCCATACCTGTTGTTACTATGGCTGTTCATTCTGTTTACACTGAATGTGTAGGGAAAAAGGGAAGAAAACAGAGCCCAGTTCCTTGTATGTGCACACATACTGATTCCGATATATAATAGTGAAGAATTATATTTTGGTTTAACATCTACCAGTGATTTAAAAAAAAAAAAAAACCTTATATGTGAGATATGCGCAGGTTGGTTTGTATTTGACAGTTACTTTACAGTGTAATAAGATAGATATAAGGGTGTTATTGTCTTAGAAAACATGATGTATGTTAATGAATTTGTAAATATTATCCAGCAATATATATTGATGTAAGAATTACAGATCCTTTTTTGATTTCATAATGAGTACTTACAGCTGGGAAAACAAACTTATACTTCTAATGTGGCTATTGACATGAAATCATTACCAGATGTTGGTAACATCCCAAATAATCTGTGCATACAAAGAAACCAAGACAAATGAGTCCTTAAATTAAGCCATGTGTAGTGACGTGGAATGACACAAGGACATATGAAGAAAAGGAGGCGTGAAGAGGCACTGAAAGCCTTAGCCAACTTTATATCTCAATGTCACCAGGTGATGTTGAACCTATCCAAACAATTAATAAATGCATTGAGCAAATTAACAACTGGATGTCTCATACTTTCCTTCAACTGAACAAAAACAAAACTAAAATACTTATCTTTGGACCCAAAAAAGATCGACTAAATATCAGTAATCAGCTTAAACTGGTCCAAATAGAAACTACTGACCAGACCAGAAATTTAGTTGTAATAATGGACTCAGACCTGAACCTCCAGGGCCACATAAAAGTAATAACAAGGTCAGCCTTCTATCATATGAGGAACATTTCTAGGATTAAAGGACTGATGACACAAGGAGACCTAGAAAAACTCATCCATGCATTTATCTCTAGCCACCTTGATTACTGTAACAGTATCTTCAAAGGTTTACCTAAAAAATCAATCAGAGACACTGAACTCTTTTAAGTCTAAAATTAAAACTTACTTATTTAGACTTGCTTATGAGTAACTGATCTTATTATGGCTTTCTACTTGCTTGTTTTTAATTTTGAATTGCACCTTGAATTGCCTTGTGCTTAAAGTGTGCTATACAAATAAAATTGCCTTGCCTTGCCTAGAAGCCAGCTGAGATCTCTCTATTATGAATGCAATCCTGCCCCCTATCAGTGGAAATTAGTACTAGCTGGTTCAGTCCTAACTCATGGCCTATAAGAAAGGTTTCTCATTACCAAGGTGTCACAGCAAATGCAGCTTATGACGGGTAAAAGCAAAGATCATGCAACTTTAGTGTCTTGCAACAATAAGGTAGCAAGACAGTAGGAGCCTTACTGTTGCAGAAGATACTGATGGGATCAGTTACGGGCATATTTCTGACCTTCAGGATGTTACAGTGAATTAGGGAAGTGGAAAGAACATAATTTCACGATAAACCAGCCACAATCAAACGTTCAAGATTTCTGACAGCAGAGTCAGTACCTCATCAAAAGAGTTGTCCAAGAGCCAAGAACCACTTGGGGAGAGCTTCAGAAAGAACTGTGGTCTATGCTAAGCAGCCAGACTTGTCTGGCTTATCCAGGTAACTTCTGGGTTAAACCTGGTTTTCTTTATTATGAAGTATTCACTTCCTGTTGGGGTAAATTGGCAGATTAAGAATCAACTCAAGAATCAATTCTCCAGAAAAGAGTGTCACCATACCGGGAGATCCCTCGGGCACCTGCGTGTGAACCGTAAAAAAGGTCTAAAGTTTTTTTTGTTTTTTTTTTAAATACCATGTAATGTCTTTGATTCCCTGATGAGCATTATTAATTAACACTTACATATAAATAATTAATACTTACATATTTTTTTCAATTGTATTGTTCTGCAGCTTAGAGATTAAACACTCAAACTGTCAGGAGAAGGTTATGTTACGAGTTTGGGTTTAAAATAATTTGTAAGCGACACGTTTTCACTAATTCTTTTCTTTTAAAGCACATTGTAAGTGT